TGTCAGTTGGAGGAGATGGCAGCATGTATCAGTATATAAAATCAAGCTCTTTCTTCAAAGTGACAGGCCCTGGATATTGTTGGCAAATGGATGTTGAATCCATCCAGGAACCACCAACAGCAGCCCCAGCTATGAAATATTAACTGTACTCTGGCTAAAGGGAAGGGAAAATGCTCTGCTAGATATACCACAAAATCCTGTTTGTGAGTAATCCATCTGACAGATCTTGTTTTGTGGAGAGAAAAAAAAAACAAAGAAAAAAGGAAGGGAGGATTATGTCATTTGGCTCTTTCCGTTAAGATCTGCTCTCATTTGTTGTCTAGACTAATGCAATATGAGAGCAAACATAAAGAACTGTCAAAGGAAGTTATAGGAAATACCCAATCTTTGCTGTAGTCTGCAGCTCAATAAAGAGGCCATCATGAATAGAGTGTAGCAAACAAAATTGTGCTATACCAATACAAAACACTAGAGAGCACTAGATCCTATTTTTTAAAATCCATTCCCTTTGGCCAGCTAACCCTCTTCCTATCCATAAAACTTATTGCACAATGCTTCTTTTCAAGAGAAAAAAATCACTTCAAAGCAACTGTTAAATGTATACCTGCATGAGATTGGTACGTCATAAACAAATGAAATTGAAAGAAGACAACATGTTCTTTGCTTTACAGTATAATTCTTATCATAACCTAATCTCTGCTCAAACCAAGTGTTTAAACCTAGCAGCACAGGTGACTTTGGACATTTTACTGGCCTTATGAAAATGAAAAAAAAAGAAAAAAAAAGAAAAATGGTATTGTACTTGGTAGCTTGGTAATGCATGGTCCATATTGAACATGCACCAAAAAGGGTAAATACTTATTGTGCTACAGTTAAAGGTCAGCAGACTGAGCAGATAGTTAACAATATCGTAAATTACACTGGGAATCCTCAGTGCAGGGAACAATGAAGTCTGAAAACAGACAAGGCATTCTTCAAAAATGCATACAACCTAGTGTCAGATAGCTCAACCTCAGCGATAGACTTGGTTCTTCAAACATAGTAATCATTCAAAAGATACAACAAAATACACTTTGGAAAAGCTGAGAAAATAAGAATAACTTTTTTGATGGTGACATTTTTCTATACAAATTATTTGGCTAAACAAAAATTCAAAAGAAAATTCTGATTTGTGTTAAAGAATGAATAAACAAGAAATGAGTGCTTTAAATCATTGATGGTTTTAAATTATTTTCTTTTTGTAATGTTGAAAGATTACAAAAGCATTTTTCCTCCTAACATTTTTTGTTTTTATTTACAGGCAACAATGACTGTATATTATGATCATGCTCCATGTTCTTGAGCATTCTCAACTTTAAAGTTAGGATTAAAATTGAGCCAGCAGGTGTCAACATAACACTATTTTTAAAGGTGGTCTGTCTGCAGCCAAATGTTTTGCTCTAGCAACAACCCATAAAGAGATTCTGTCCAGAGGCAGGAAATCAAATCAGCACTTCTTGTCTTTGTTACAACACAAACATTCTGGAAAAATCTGCATCCTGACTTTGACTCATGTTAAAATCTAATCATAAATAACATTTTTTTCAAAGCAATTATATCTCCCACACAATAGCAGCCCTCCTTGCCACTTCTCAACTAGACAGCAGGAAAGATTTATGAAAAATTTACAAGATTATTCTCCTATTTGTAAACTCTCCAGATAGCCTTCGAGTCTTAACTGGGGCTATATGTTTCAGTATTAGAAAATCACAAGAAAAGAACCTCCCCTTACCCAAAGGATATATTGCTAACACCACATGTGCTCATTCACAATGACATTACAGGTAAGATTCCGCACCAACTGGTTAACCTAAAATCATTCAACTAATTTTATTTATATAGCACCGATTTAAAACACATGTCATCTCAAGGCACTTTACAGTTCACCAGATCATACAGTCAGATTGATCAAAGTTTTCTATCTTAGGAAAACCAGTTGATTGCATCGACTCATTGACTTGAATGCAATCCTTCACACTAAGCATGCTTGTAGCGACAGTGGAGAGGAAAAACTCCCTTTTAAAAGGAAGAAATCTCCAGCAGAACAAGGCTCAGTGTGAGGGATGTAAAATAAGAATTAAAAATACAATGATTTTTTTTTTTTATTATCATTTACTTTTTAAAACTGTAAAAGATTCCTCCAACAGTGCCTTTAAATATGGAGTGATGTCACAACAC